TGATAATAATCGCAGAAATTGAATCCTAGTCCATTGATATTTTTATAACAATATAAGAAAAATTATTATTAATGCTATTGTTGTTGTTATTGTTATTATTATTATTATTATTATTATTGATTACTATTATTATACGAACTTTATTATAATAATTTCGTCGCATTGACAAAATTCCCATTCAATCCCAAAAGAAAGAAATATAAAAAGATCTCTATCTCCAATTTCTTCTTTTCCTTTTTTTAAATTAATAACATGGTAATAATAGTAATTGATCTTTTATGATTCATTGATATTTGCCATTGATATTTTTGTAACAGCATAAAAAAAAAGAAAACTATTATTAATATTATTATTATTATTATTATTATTATTATTATTATTATTATTATTATTATTATTATTATTACATTTATTATGTGAATTTTTATCTTGTCTCACCACGTTTGTGAAATTCCAAGGGAAAAGAAATATATTCTTTTAACATTAATTCGGAACAATCGGTTACGGTACTTACCAGAGAAATGAGACACACGTTTTACGGAAGCTACGCCGTTATCCCGTTTTAATGACACAGCAGGGGCTTAACGATCGTATACAAGCTCATTACTTACTTGTTTCTCATCAACGTTCAACGATATTCGTACTAACAGCCACGTACTTTTTAACACGTATGTATTTTATGCGTGTGTATATGTGTACATATATATATATATATATATATATATATATATGTAATACGTGTAGATATACGTATGTGTATGTGCATTTTATTTTTCTTCGTTTCTTTTTTTTTTATTTTTTTTTTTTTTTTTTTTTTACTTTACGACAAGCATATAAAGAAATAATAAATAGATAACACTTAAACAAATCTGCATTATAAATATATATGGTTATACATATATTTATATACATAATAATTTATACATGCGACATCGTTCGTTTACTAAAAATTATAAAGTAATAAGTTACAAGATGGTTGAGACTTTGGCGGATCGTTCGAACTTTCTTCTAAAAATGTTCTTTCTCTCGTTCAACTTTAATATAAATAAAATAAAGAGATCCGATAAAGTATGACGTAGAAAAAGCTAAGAAGAAACGAGAAGAAAAAGGGAGAAAAAAGAGTACCAAAAAAAAGAAAAAAAAAAGAAAAAAGGAGAAAAGAGAGAGAGAAAGAGAGAGAGAGAGAGAGAGAGAGAGAGAGAGAGAGAGAGAGAGAGAGAGAGAAAGAGAGAGAGAGAGAGAAAGAAAAGAACAAGGAAGGAAAGCACAAAGCCGATGCGGTTACTTTGGGCGTCGCCATAGCAAAGTTCTAAGTCGTTCTAAGTTCACGACGGATTTGCCAGAGTTCTCTTTTCCAAGTTACCTTCAAATGGATAGGATCCATCGATACGTGGAGTCGATGCAAATACTTTCGTTGTTCCAAGAAGAAAAGAACAAAAGAAAGAAAGAAGGAAAGAGTAAAGAAAAAAAAGAAAAAAAAAGAAAGAAAAACAAAAAGCAAAAAAATGAGCCAACGTTTCCATAATTTTTTATCTTTCGTTTTGTTCGTATAAAAAGGATTACAAGATGAAAACTCGGATAGAAACATATGCGTTTGTCGATTAACCGCAAGCAACGTTATCTTTAATATCAATTTCTCTTTTTTTTTTCTTTTTTTTTTTTTTTTTTTTTCTTTTTTTTCTTTTTTTTCGAAGAAAGTTCAAAACGATACCGTCATAAGTCGGTCAAAATAAAGAAAGCAGAGTGAAATAAAAGGGCTCTGTGCCAAAATGGAATACAAGGGAACGTTGTTTTTTCTTTTGTTCGTTCGTTTGTTTTGTGTTTTGTCTCGTCTTATCTCGTCTTGTTTTGTCTTGCTTGTCTTGTCTTGTCTTGTTTCGTCATGTCTTGTCTCGTCCTGTCTTGTCTTGTTTCTATTTTGTTTTGTTGTTATTTACTTTTTTTTCTTAGTAAACGAAATACCTGAAGGACCATAGTGCTGACAACCGTACCGGCGACAGGCACGAGATTCAGCTCTAGCCACTCCTCTCCTGCCCTTAGGCAACCTCTTTCGAATATACTCCTCTCTCCCGTCTGCATTTTCCGAAGGACAAACACAAAATCATCATTTCTACGTTTCTCTGTTGTTTCGTTTTATTTTTTTTTTTTTTGTTTTTCTTTTCTCTTTTTTCCTCTTTTTTTTTGTTGTTTTTTTTTTTTTTGTTTTATTCTTTTCCTTTCCATCTAGCTCTATTTTCATTTATTTATTTATCCATTTATTTATTTATTTGTTTATTTTTATCTTGATCACGACATTTTGCTATTATCTTTTTCTTTTCTTTTCTTTTCTTTTCTTTTCTTTTTTGTTCTTTTTTCTATTTTATAATAATTAAAAGATCAGTATGACACGCGCATATGGCGACGGCCGTGTTGTTCCATTTTTATCAAGCTAAAGGATTTAACGTTACGCTACGGCAGTCGCCTGCACTGCACCGATAACGCGAACACAAACATCGATATTTCTCTACGACCTTATTTATTTTCTTTTACGAAGAAGAAAAACTCAAGCGAGCGCTCGTTTCCTTTTTTCCTTCTTCTTCTTTTTTTTTTCTTCTACTATCTTCTTTTTTGGTCGTTTCTTTCTTTCTTTTTTTTTTTTTTTAATCATATATATATTTTTTTACTTAATCATATATATTTTTTAAGGATGGATATGGAGATAATACTCTTTGGAAAATGACAGAAGGATTGGGATTGATCATGGATCGATAGATCTGCAACGAGCTAGGGAATTCTTCTGTAAATATTTTCTTTCCTTTCTATTTTTTTATTCTATTTCCTTATTCAATTGCTTCTACTATAAATTAACGCATTACGGAATAGACATTTCTTTCGTTACTAATGCAAATCAATAGTCGATCATATTTTTCCATTTATAAATATTTGTGAAATGTAATTCTCTGTAATTACAAAAAAAAAAAAAAAAAAAAAAAAAAAAAAAAAAAAAAAAAAAAAAAAGAAATAGAAGATTTAAATGAACCGTCAATTATTTCTATTTCGAAATCTCTTGAATGAATGCTTCTTAATTTTTATATATTTTTACTTATATACCTTTTTCATTATTAATGAAAGATAACCCGTCCGTAATGTGTTAAAATGTTCGTAAGAAAAAATTAAAATTCCTTTCTTATAGTTATCCTACGTGATAAGAGATATTATACAAAAAAAAAAAAAAAAAAAAAAAAAAAAAAGAGAAAAAAGGAAAAAAAAATGAAAGGGACGCGAAAAAACGAAATACTATTGACAAGTATGAAAATTAATAGAGGTTTACTTACGTAGCTAGGTTTCCTAACGTCATAGCCACACTGCTTGTTCTTGATAATTTCCTACGAAGTAAAAATAGAGATGAAAGTTCTTTGAAGTAGAAAATCGATATATATATATATATATATATATATTTATATATATAAAAGGATGATCGATAAAAAAAAATTGTTGGAAAACGTGAAGTAGTAGAGAAAAGAAAAAAAAATATATATATATATGTGGGTATAAAGAGAAAGGAAATGGAAACACGTTACGTTTGGTTTCCTTTTGCAGCAACTGAAAGGCACACCGCAGGCTTCCCTCGAGCCAATGTCACTCGACGAACAGTTGAAATAATTATTACGATCCCAATCCTTTGGGCCCTCGATACCGCAGCATTGTAACTGAAAGAAATAAATTAAGATTATTTTGTGAATAAAAGAAAAAAAAAATTTATATTATAATATCGTCGATATTTGAGATTGAATTCGAGAAACAAATTTGAAATGAGATAGTACGTTGTTAATGGTATAAATAAAATAAAAGATTTTAATGAACCCATCGTAAATGAATTTAATTTGTGAGAGTTTGAAGGATTGATTGCGTTATTAAGTGTATAGAAGGGAGGAAAAAAAGAAAGAAAGGATGGAAGAAAGAATCCCTTATGGGAAAAAAGGACGAGGGTAAGTGGAATAAATAGATGATATTTAAGAAATGAAATCAAGGACGGCTGTTGTAATATAGGAAATTGATGTTAATAAGTAGACAAATGAAATACGAGAAAGCGGATTCTATAATCATTTTTATTTTGAAACGTTAATGGAAAATTATTTTTCTTTTTTTCTTTCTCTCTCTCTCTCTCTCTCTCTTTTTTTTCTTTTTTCTTTTTTCTTTTACACCGTAATATTATACGTATGCTATACATATACGAGATGATTGGATAAATAAAAGTATATGAAAAATATGATTATATCTTAATAGGTAGGTTTTTATTATTAGAAAATAGAGATTATTTTTAAAGTTTTATGAAAATATTATAAACATTGTAAATCATATTGGATGATATTTTAAACGTTGAATAATTAGCAAAAACATTCAAGAGTCATTGTTTTTTTTGCTTAATTGCTTCCCTATTTTTTTGTTTCTTAATCAATTTTTTTCTTTATACTTTCAAAGTTTCTGTTCTCTTGCATTACCATGCGAACATAAATGATTTAATCGTGAAAGAGGAAGCTTTGAACAGCATACGCCAGTTGGAATATGGCCTTCCTACCATTACAGTTCTTACTCGAATTTGCATTCCTTTGCGATTAATATGCGTTCGTCCATCTCTCGGATCTCTGCACTCTATTTCTCTCTCTCTCTCTCTCTCTCTCTCTCTCTTTTCGTTTCATATCTCTTTCAAAAAAGTTCGACTCTAATTATAGATTTGAACTTTTTTGCTATTACATTTTTTCCTTTTTAATTTTATCTTGCCTCATCCAAGATCCAGTACTCGAATACAAAATAGCGTACAACTGATACGTATACTTTGAAAAATCGATTATTTTTCCCCTTTTTTACTTACCGTGTTTCATATAATTTTTTTTTTTTCTATCATCAATAGCATCATGTGTTAATATCAATTTTCGATAGGTAGGATATTACTAAAGCACCATCTGCGGTTTACAGTCGAAGAGCTAGCCTACCAATAGGATTACCAAAATTGCGATGGATAGGTATATCGCTAGGAGTCGCTTTCTATTGAAATCTCGTAAACCACGATTGGATGTCCTGTATCGATCGTCGAATACTATAGTACGTACATACATACATACATACATACACACACATACATATATATATATATATATATGCACATACAGACACATATTGCTTACAAACCATTTCTCGTTCATGATTCAAATTCGAAAGATAATTATCAATGAGGAGAGAGAATATTGAGACCTCGATTTGATTCATTAGATGAAATGTGTTCGAAAAGATTGAATAGATACAAAAAAAAATTGAATAGAAGAAAAAAAAAATTCAAATAGGAATCCTACCAATAGATATCTTTCAAAGAACATACCCAATCCTCTTGAATCCAATCGATCAAATTCTGTTGATCTGGATCCTCGCGATAGTGAATGATGAAAGCTTGGAAGCCCCCGGTTGCTTGTGATTTTATCTGTTAAAACAAATATTATTATTTTAATTGGGCGAAAGGAGAAATTAGGTATAAAAAAAAAAAAAAGAAAGAAAAAAAAACAAAGAGAAAAAAAAAAACAAAATATAAAAATGTGAAGATAAAAAGAGTACGATTTGTAATTCTAATCTAATATCTCCAAGTCTTAATCATATTCTCTTGAAATATATTAGTACGTAAAATCAACGGGATCCTGGATGGCCACTAAGAGTAGGAAGTTCAACGGGGGTTGGACAGAGAAAATATACGACTCCACTCGACTCTACTGACGGGGTTGCGGAATCTGTTTGGCTTGTTTGTTTTCGAGACTCGGCCGAGCTTTTCATCGTCGCAAAGACCATTAAGTTCACCGACCTCGTACTTGTTATGAATGTAACCCAGTCAGAATTATCTATCGTTTATGTATTCTGTTTTCCTTCCTTTCTTTCTTTTTCTTTTCTCTTTTTCCTTTTCCTTTTCCTTTTTCTTTCTTTTCTTTTCTTTTTCTTCTTATTCTTATTCTTTTTTCTTTTTTTTTTTTCTTTTTTTCAAGAAGAAATATCTTTCCCACGTCATCTCGAACGTTTATTCCATTTTTTGCTGGCTCGTGAAAAAAAAAAAATTAAAAAAAAAAAGAAAACAAAACAAAAGGGAATAAGAAATTATATACAAAAGGACAAAGAACATAAAGGGAATATAAAATCTTACCCAGTCTTTAAAGATGAAGCCTAAAACACCGGCAGTCATCTCCATTAGCAGCAATAACGCCAGGAATATCGCGTACTATAAAGCAAGAGTATATCAAACGATTTAATATTTTTCAGAGACAATTATTACAGGTGTCATGGGAAAAACAGTAAAAAAAAAAAAAAAAAAAAAAAAAAAAAAAAAATTAAAAAAATAATAAATAAAAAAGAAAAAACAGAGAGAGAGAGAGAGAGATCAAAATGTAATTTTTGACAAATTAATATAATATCATTTGATATGAACTTATGAAAGTACTCGATCGAAAGAAAATTTGATGTATCATTTATCGTTAATCTTTATTTTGTAATGCAACGTGAGATAGATCGAAATGATTAATATCAAAATATTTTTTCAAAAGTACTCGTGACGAACCAATGAGATTTATATCGCGGATAAATATGTCGACGAGTACTCTGTAATATCTCTCTCTCTCTCTCACCCTCTTTCTCTCTCTCTCTTTCTCTTTCTCAAAACAAAAAATAATCTCGAGAGAGAGAGAGAGAGAGAGAGAGAGAAAGAGAGAGAGAGAGAGAGAGAAATAGATTATTAGACGATCAAAGAACGGATCCCCATATGACATATATAATTAAATATTCAACGTGAGTACTCACTGCGGCTAGGAGGCACGTATTTTCCCTGAGTGCGCCGACACACCCCGTAAATCCGATGATAAATGTCACTGTACCTGCAATAAGGAAGATATTATCGTTCACTGTCACAGCACAATAATGGTGAAGGGCGAGAGGATGAGAATGGGGTAGAAAAGGGTTTCTCATCGTCGAAATTATTTTTGTCTGTTCTGGCATATATAATAAAAATGAATGCGCGTTATGCACTGTTCTTTGAATTTTATAGAAATAAGTAAGAGATTTGAACGATTGAAAACATGAAAGAAAGAGAGAGAGAGAGAGAGAGAGAGAGAGAGAGAGAGAGAAAGAGAGAGAAAGTAAGAATCTAACGTAAGAATTTGAAATTTTAATGGAAAAATTTCAATGGATTCTTCGATATCTTATAAGTTAAGAACCGATTTCTTATTTTTATTTATCTTATCTTTCTTTCTTCCTTCCTTCCTTCCTTTCTTTTTATCTTTCTTTCTTTCTTTCTTTCTCTTTTTCTATCACCACGAAAGCCTCAACGATAAATTCCAGACTGGATGGATATTCGCGCGTATAGAATTCCTAGAGATCTCGGTCTGCGTGCTTCGAAATAGTCGATGAAGGGAGAAAGGGAAAGGGTGGATGAGGCAAGGTAGAGGACTAGAGAGATAGAGAGAGAGAGAGAGAGAGAGAGAGAAAAGGGAT